ATATGTTGAAGCCCTCATTCCCAATGTGATGGTATTAAGAGGTGGGGTCTTTGAGAAGTGAGGGCCCTCATCAATGGTGTTGGAAGAGAGAGGAAAAGACAGAGAGAAATATCTCTTAACAGAGACCTCAGAGAGCTCTCTTGCTCCTCCCACCGTGTGAGGACATACAAGAAGCCAGCCATCTGGAGGAGGGCCTTCCTCGACCTTGAACTTCCCAGCCTCCAGAACGGTGAGCAATACATTTCTGTTGTTGACAAGCGCCCCCAGTCTGTGGTATGTGGTTATTGCAACACTAACAGACTAAGACACAAGCTAAAGGTCCGCTGACGGAAGAGTGGCTTCATAAACTCTGGTTTATCCACACCGTGGAAAACTACGCAAGTGGTAGATCCAGAGGAAGACGGAGAACTCAAGAAGACCCAGTCGTGTGTCCATAAGTGAAACCGAGGGAGGTAGTGCTCGGGAAACTCCGTGCCACGTAACCCCATCCACATAAAAGCAAAGCAAAACAGGACAAAATGCTCAAGCAGCGTGCCAAGTGCTCTAGACACGTACGGAGACATGGAGGTGAAAGGAGGGCTCAGAATCTAAGTCTCTCGCTTAACAGAGGGGTCACTCGGGGGAAGGGGAGAGGGCAAGAGAATTTTTCACAATGGGAACATATGAGAACATAGCCTAGAATTGTCTGTGCAACTTAAAACTGGTTTTAAAAGGAGACGGATAAGAAATTCAGTCACTCCTACATCAGTCAGTCAACTGAATTTGTCGCCTGCTGCCTTTGGGATGGAGAAGTGTGAGACCTGTTGAGAAATCCAGGTGCCAGGTGCTGAGAGGGAGTGGAACAGAGGACACAGCTTGGTCTGGGAGGTAGAGGAGGCCTCGCTAAGGCGGCAACATGTTGGAGCTGAGACCTGACAGAGGCCTCGTTGGAGGGAGGCAAGTTTGGGCGGAGGCTACAGCGAGTGCAAAGGCCCTGAGGCTAGAGTGAGCAGGGACAGGAGGAGGCTGGTTTGTGGGTCTGGAATGCAATGGGTAAGGAGAGAGTGGAGGCAGATGAGGGTGGAGGAGTGGGTAGGGGCCAGACCACATAGCACCTGGGGATGGTGGGGAGAGACTGGGATTTTATTCCAGGTGCAGTGGGAGCTTTAGGGAGGACTCAGCAAGGAAGAGACATCATCTGACCTAAATTTATAAAAGACCTGTAATAGTCTCCCTTCCAAATTCATGTTCACCTGGAACCTCAGAATGAGACCTTACTTGGCTATGGGGGTTTAGCAGATGAAATTAGGTAAGAGGAGGTCATACTGGACTAGGGTGGGTCCTAAATCCAATGACCGGTGTCCTTATAAGAAGGCCATATGACCCTAACCCAGTGGTCGGCAAACTCATTAGTCAACAGAGCCAAATATCAACAGTACAACGATTGAAATTTCTTTTGAGAGCCAAATTTTTTAAACTTAAACTATATAGGTAGGTACATTGTTGTTAACTTAATTAGGGTACTCCTAAGCTGGCCTTTGCTAAAAACGTCCTCAATCTGATTGAGGTACGTTCGCTGAGGTCGACCCCTTCCAACTCTCCCATCCACACTCGTCTTGTATACTTGTTTCGTCTATCTCCTTTCGTTCATCCTCTCTATATGTCCACCCCCCACTTCTTCTAATGCCACTTCTTCAAAATAGACTCGCCCAGGCTGAAAACCGACTTCTGCACATGGGCCACGAAGTTTCAATCGCACTGTACTCACGCGCCCGCACGTGGTATTTTGTGGAAGAGTCACACTCAAGGGGCCAAAGAGCCGCATGTGGCTCGTGAGCCGCGGTTTGCCGACCACTGCCCTAACCAGTCAGCCTGTGGACTGAAGGGTCCCAGGTTCCATTCTGGTCAAGGGCACGTACCTCAATTGCAGGCTCCTCCCTGGCCTGGGCCCTGGTCGGGGCTCGTGCAGGAGGCAACCAACCCATGTGTTTCCTTCACATTGATATTTCTCTCTGTCTTTCCCTCTCTCTTCCACTCTCTCTAAAAATCAATGGAAAAATATCCTCGGGTGAAGATTTAAAAAAAAAAAAAAAAAGGCCATAGGAAGACAGAGGCAGAGATCGGGGTGACACATCTACAAGCCAAGGAACGCAAAGGGCCGCTGGCCGCCGCCACCGGTCAGGAGAGAGGCAGGGAGCAGACTCTCTTCAGAGCTTCGAGAAGGAACGGACCTTGCTGACCCTTAGATTTTGGACGTCCAGCCTCAGGAACTGGGAGAGAATAAATTTCTGTGTGTGGCTTTGTTACAGCAGCGGCAGGAAAACTAGTACAGAAATAGACTGCTTGGGGGAGGACTGGCAGGAGGAACAGCAGGGAGCTGGCTGGAGCGGCATCCAGATGGGAGCCGGCAGGGACCGGGTGGGGAGAAGGGGGCAGGTCCATGCGTAATGAGTTCCGGAAGCAGGATCGGTGCGACCTGTTAAGAGTATATCCTTTGTTCTGTGGTTTACGAATGGTGAGCCTTCAGCCCTCAGAGGCCAAAGTCAACACACTTGGCTTGCTCAGCACCAGCCTGGGCCAGCGGAGGAGGGAAACCCCTGCTCACACCCACCCCTCGGTGCCCTACCTGCCGGCATCTTGCGAGATGGTCACCGACACATCCAGGCCCAGCGTCGTGACCCTCTTACACACGGCGTCCATGTCGATGACGGAGTCGATGCTTTCAGGCCCGTCCTCCACGCAGCACTGGGAGCCGGGGCAGAAGCGGCAATTGTCCAGCCCTTTGTAGCCCTTGTTGTGGCCGCACTTCTCCAGTGTGACTGTGGTTGCCATGCCCGACACGCCCACATGCACCACTAGCTGCAGACAGACAGGCGGGGCTTAGCAGGGTCTGTCCCTGGGACCAGGGGGGCTCTCAGGTCAAGGAGAGGGTGGCAGCCTTGCTGGGCTCCACTGGGGTGACACTGTGTCTGACCTCTTGCTGCTGGAACAGACCCCATAGTCACTGCTGCAGAAAGGTAAGCCAAGCGAAACGTGCAAGTACGTGAAACATGCAAGGATGTTTCTGTAGCCTTTTAATACAATCAAAGACTGGAAAACACGTAATTAGCTATTTGTGTGGGCTGGTTAAATAAATTATGAACTACTACTGTGTAGCTGCTAAAATGCCCAAAGCAGTTCTATTAAGGAATGATCTCCAAGACATATTGCCAAATGCAAAAGACCAAGTATAACTTTTAGGAATGTAGCCTAAAAATAATCAAAGATGTAATAGTCTTTCAATGCTCACTTCCGTGTTACTTATAAAAATGGAAACAAGTAGCCAACCCAATTATAAGAGAATGGTTATATTAATTACTAAAATGTGTTATTTATAAAAATGAGAGAGAAAAAACATGGAAACAAGTAGCATACCCAATTATAAGAGAATGGTTATATTAATTACTAAAAATTAACCAGCGATTAAAATAATGGTTAGGGAGAATTTTTAATGACCTAGGTGATTAAATGCTCATGATAAAATATTTATGAAAAGCAGGATACCAAACTGAACACAGTGTAACTTCAGCCATCAATCACTGGTGTGTATGCTCACACACAGACGGGCCCTGTAAGAAACTGTGTGAACACTAAACATATCAGCAGCTACTGAGCACTTGCCATGTGGCTGGTGCAAACTGAGATGTACAGTCAAGTGTAAAAACTACCAGATTTGGGGGTTTGGGCACCGAAAAAAATGTAAAACGTCTCAATGATTTTTTAAAAATGTTGACTGCATGTGATGGAAGCAGGAACAAAGCTCCATAAACCATCCCAGGGTGGGGTGCCCATCCCAGGGCCCGATAAGGAAGCACCTGCCTTTGCCCCACTCACCTGTGGGCTGTGCTTCTCCCACAGGGCGGGGATGAGCCTCTGGACTGTCTTGTACTCGACGGGAATCTCGTACACGTGCAGGTCCACGCTGTCGCCAAGGCCCAGCTTCTCCAGCTCCTGGAATCGAGGGAGAGGGGGTGTCGGAGCACTAGGCAGCACAGCAATAAGGTGTTCCGTGGGGATAAACTGATCCTCAGAAAACAGGCGGGTGTCCTGACTCTGGGCAGAGTGGGTAGGCAAGTGGGCTGGTCTACCCCAAAGCTCTTCCCTCATCCCCTCCCCCACCCACTCGCCTCGAACTCTATCTGCACATCCAGGAGCGGCAGGGGTGTGATGCTGCAGCCTCTGGAGCTAGGCTCTTGGGTTTGAACCCTGCCTGTGTGACCTTGGGCATGTAACTTAACCTCTCTGAGCCTCAGTCTTCTCATCTGTAAAATGGGGATTAAAAAAAGTACTTACCTCACAATGTGCTTATAAGAATTAAATGAACAAATTCACACTAAGAGTTCCAAGCAAAGCTCAAATAATGTCGCCACTGTTACTATTTCTGTTGTTACTACACTTTCCCTGGTTACACCTGCTAAGAATTATGCATAGACTTGGTGGGTGGTATATAGCAGGAGCTCAGCATACATATGCAGGGGCTTTCCAACTCCTTAAGGAGCCTCTAACCATCTTGTGCACGAGGTGGTCTAAGAACATCATGAATTGTGTACATACAAACAGGGCTAGGGGTTACTGCGTACACACTTTTCTGGGGAAACACTGATGCTTTCCACCAAGGGTCTGCCTGTGAACTCCTTGTGGGCGGAGCCTACCACCTGGCCGGCCCAAGGCACAGTGGGAGGGAGGCCCAGAACCAGATTCGCTGGAGGAACACCGACCCGGCCAGCCCGGCACCCAGAGGGGGGCAGAGATATTTGAGGATGAAGATTTCAGCTCAATATGCAGACCTGGGCATTCTTCATAGTAGAATTAATACTCCAAATAATGATGATCAGTCGAGCTGGTTCACATTGTCCTCAGATCTCATGCAGTGGTTTGGAAATGCTGCTGCCAGTGGGCGTTCTCCAGGGCCACCAGGTGCAGCATTTGTGTGACCGGCCTCAGGGAATCTGCCACAGGTGAGTTCCTGCATCTCCTCCCACTTCAGGATTTCCTTATCTGGTCGCCTGACCTTGCTATCCCTGCTGCCAACGCCACACCCAATCACTGCAGTTTACCCCGGAGGCATCTGACGCCTGGGAAAGCAGGCCTCTCCTCACTGACAGATAATTCCAAACTGCTCCCCAAAGAGGGTGCAGCAGGTCACCTGGGAACAAGGGCACCTGGAGGGTGGGTGGGGCATGAT